TTCTTTTAAACAATTTGCATCTTTTATTTTATATTCCTTCGATCTCTTAAATATTCTAATCAACTTTCGTTCATTATTCGATGGGTCCTTTCATATTTTTAAACTGACTTTTGTTTCGTTATCTTTGTTATGCTTAGACCCTTCCATCGAATCCTTTTTGTCAGTTTTGACTAGGCCTAATGTCACATTTTTTAGCCAATCGATGTTTTTTCAGTTATTATTAAAGATATATTTTATTAATAATAGCCGACTAGCTTCCTTATTGTTGCGCATTCTATATATTATGTGCTCACAATTTCTGAAATTTATTGGTGACTAAGGATGCCTGGATGCATGCATGAATAAAGTTGGCGGCTAGCAATACTTTTAATTTACAATTAGGTTTTAGAGACTACCAATATATATGATACTGATAGCTGAGTCTTCCCACAATGATATGAGTGAGCCTCACGGTTCCATTGAAGTTTACACAGGCATGCTTCCAAACAGTTATTCTTATACAGACAGGACTGCAGTTTCGACTTCGCCTAGGCCTCATCAGTATCTCCTGTGGGTTGGCGTCTAAGCTTTTCCAAATAACATTTATTTGGGGGCATTGCCGATTTAACAAGGTTGTATTTGCGATATAAATTGACTGCATTTTTTTACTGTTTATAAATAGATTTTTGAGACTAGCTGGTAATCTTATGTAAGAACTATATTCACCCTTTTAGCGGTATCGAAAACCTACTTTTTAACTTAAAATAATTATTTTTCACATTAAGTATTGTTGTGTTAAAATTCTTCTACCAGTCCTTCATCACCTTAAACGAAATTGGGTGAATACATCTCATATTACTGAAAATAGTTAGTTTAGTCACTTGCATTTCAAACTTTGTTTCATCCAAAATGATATCGGAAGAACCTGGCCTTCCTTGAAATTTCCTTCTGCGTTGTGACTCAAGGGCACTCGTGGCAGTAGGGATCCGTGGCTAACTGCGCTATCTAGTTTCAAGTCCAGCTGTGGGTGCTGTTGAGACAAATGCTACCTTTTGGGTAGCAAGGTGGCGGGAAATTGTGTGGTAACGTTAGATCCGTTTATATTGTGGGAAAATTAAACTACCACTCCCTTATCACCTGAAAAGAAATAGGATGAATATGGCTCATATCAATCCTTTTTCTTTTTTAAACTCCATGTGCCTACTACATTGTATTGAAAATTAAGAATTTATTCATATTTTCATCTTTGTGTCTGTGCATGCATGTAGTTAACGCTCTGGTAGTTCATCTAACCAATTAGAATTACTATTACTGCATTGTATTACTGCTTGCAAATTTTTATTTTAACATAATGAATTTTATTATAAATGCCCATGATGTGAAAAACAACATTTTTGGGCTGGAGGAATAAAATTAATATATTATGAACTACTTTGTTAAGACTGTCTTCGACGAAACTAATTCTAATTAAACTAACTTCTTAGTTTTCCTATGTAAGTAGAGTATTGGCTCGACCTTGTTTTCACAACTTGGTCGGAGCGTCAGGGAGACCTTGTGGAACATACCAAGCCCTGTGTCCTCTTCTATAATATTCATGATTTCCAGCATTGGAAAATTGGCTGGGTACATTCCTGAACGTTTCGTCGCCATCGTCAGTGAGAGGCATCATCGTAAGCACAGAGTTATAACTTATCAGTGACAAGTGGAGGCAATCCCCTTGACCTATTTTCTCATAGAGATTGGCTCTACTTGTCGCTTTGATAAGTTGTAACTCTGTGCTTACAATGCCGGCGAAACGTTTAGGGATGTACCCAGCTAATGTTCCAATGCTGGACATGAGAGATGAGAGATGAGACAGGAATGGGTACGTTCCACAAGGTCTCCCTAACGCTCAGACCAAGTTGCGAAAACGTCGAATCAACACTATAAATCTAAGATGGACTACGACCAAGCAGAAGGCCATGCCATCTTTGTCTTCATATCTCTAAACTTACTTCGGTTAAAATAGGCTTTAGGCTAGGTATTCTATACAGCCTTGAAAAGTGACTTGCTATGAACTTTCACATTCTACTTTCTTCGCTTACATGCACTTACATTTCTTCGTTAGGCCGACTCGACGTGTGGCTCTTGATTGTGAATTTGTAGGGGTCGGCTTAGATGGTCGCGAAGATGTACTGGCGCGTGTCTCTCTGGTCAACCAACATGGCCAAATCCTGCTCGATCTATATGTCAGGCCTAAGGAACGCGTTGTTGATTTCCGTACCCGAGTTTCGGGCATCCGATCAAGTGACTTGCGCTCAGATGGACCAGCAGTTACTTTTGAAGAAGCCACATCGAGGCTAGCGGAACTACTCAAAAACCGGATCCTAATAGGTCATTCTCTTACCAATGATTTCAAGGTAAACATTCTACTCTTAAGAATCGGAGCCTTGTCTATCTACTTGCCTCTATTCATTTTAATTTATTAATAGTTTAATCTCCACTAAATAACTTTTTCCCATTACCCTTTGGGCTGCAAACATTGATATCCATATGCAATTTTTAGATGCCCTGAACGGCCCCTAGACCAATTTTTCGTATTCACCAATATTAAGGAATACTAGTCTCTTCTTATCCCTATTCTCTTAGACTCGACATTAGAAAATATGTCTGCTTGTATTTATGATCACCAGGCTCGGACTGTTAAA